TCTTCGATCGATTGCTCCCCAGCTCTCAAGTCTCAGCCTCCAGTTCGCAGCCTGAACCTCAAGCCTCCGCCTCCGGACTCCTTCCTCTCAGCCTCAACAGTCCGCCTCGCAGTCGCAGTCGCCTCCGCAAGGTTCAGGCGAAACGGTCCATCCTCCATACTCCAGTGCTCCACTGTCCGTCGTAGTCCCCTCATCTGCTCTCCTCCTCCACTAAACCACCTCCTCTGCAGCTCTGCTCTCTTCCTCTGCTCAAAATTTCAATTTCAGATTCAAAGGCATAGTTTATGTAAGTCTCTTTCTCTGTCTTTTAATTTTTCGTAAAAACTCTATTTTCTTTCGTTTGTTTAACCTTTGGTAAATGTAGCTGAACATAAAAGTTTAATTTTGTGCAGTAGAGACTGTAGAGTTGAGACTAGAGAATCAGAGATTGACTGTTGTTATGGAATTGAAATTGGGTATGGATGAAATTTGGGTATTGCTTACTGCTGAGTAAGAAATTGGGTATTGTTGACTTGTTTGTTGAAATTGGATATTGTTGAGTAGAAATTGGGCATTGTTGAGATTGGATATTGTTGAGTAGAAATTAGGGATTGTTGAAAATTTGAAATTGGGTATTGCTGGATAGAAATTGGGTATTGTTGACATTGGGATTGTTGAAATTTGGATATTGTTGAATTGAAATTGTTGAAATCTTATGAAGAGATTCTTTCAAAGAATAACTGACTTGGACAACGTAAATGTTGTTGGGGCGACGTCGAATAATGTAGAATTTGACGTCAATAAACTTCCAACTGATCCTGGTCTAAGGATACCCATGTTGAATTACAATGCTAACATCCGAGATCAAGTCCGAAGAGCATATATGTTAATGGGTCCTTGTCAGCCACATGATCATGACTTTCCAAAACGACAATTTGGAGTAAAAGCTAGACGATTTAATCCTTCTTGGTTTAAAGAGTTCGGTTCTTGGTTGGAGTATAGTGTAGAAAAAGATGCTGCTTATTGTTTGTATTGTTATCTTTTTAAATCAAGTTCTGGAAAGCAAGGTGGGGGTGAGTATTTTGTTGGTGAAGGTTTCACATGTTGGAAAGAGAAAAAAAAGCTTCATACTCATGTTGGAGAACACGATAGTGCACACTGTGGAGAAAGTATTTTCTGCAATGAGCATTATAAAGGATAGATTGCGTAATCGGATGAGTGATCAGTGGATGAATGATAGCTCAATTGTTTATGTAGAGAAAGATATATTTTTGAAGCTCGATAATGAAATCAATTGTACAACGATATCAAAGCATGAAAACTCGAAAGGAACAAGTGTAATTTATAAATTATGACATTTTTAGTATTGTCGTAATATTGTTTTATATTTTTATTATCGTTACATCCATGACAAAATTCGACGTTCAATATCAGGTAAATTGTGCCCCCCCGACCAAAAATCCTGGCTCCGCCCCTGCTTATAGCTACAAGCTGCTCCAACAATGTCAAATATTATGCACTCGAGTATTTTATACTTATTTAATATTTATGTGCTAAAACAAGAAAAAAGTTGATAGAAAGTTATGTCTTGTGTTTAGGAATCAATCAAAAAAAAAGAAAAGGGAGAAGGGGCTCTCAAGAAACATCTATCATCATGTCTTTCAAGAAAGGGAAGCTCTCTTAATTTGATCTTGCTTCATTTTATTTTATTTTTCCTCTAAGTTGGTCCAATAAATTTAATGGTGAAAAAAGGGAGTTATAAGCTATATGCTTATTTCTAAAATCACAAACTACGCATAACAAGACAAAAGTGAAATCAATAAAGTGAGTAAAAGCAATCAACTTAACTAAGAAGCATTTGAGCAATAAAATATAGGGCGTGTTCGATAGAGATTAAAATCGGATTAAAATTGAAAAATTAGTCGTTATTGTTGACTTTTATTAGACGAGTGGGACCCAATAACAGCTATATTTTCAATTTTAATTGGATTTTAATCCCTCCCAAACAAGCTCTATGTAATCCCTTATATAAATCTTGGTGTACATATAGTAAGATCCTTTGTAAACATAANGAAATGGAGGGAATAGATTCAAAGATGGGAAGAGGGAAAATACACAAGGACGGACAAGATGTAGGAAATTCAAAATTTTGTGAGTTATTCATGTACTTGAGGAATAACTCTAAAATATATCATTATAAGAAACCAAAAGTTATTAACATTTTCTTATCGAACATATTTGGCATACAAAATTGAAGAGTATAAAAAAACGGTTTAAAAACAATAGAATTGTTCTTTCCAATACTACCCGTTTAACTTTAATCTATTTACATGGTATGGTAGTTAAAACGTGAACGTCCCATATCTTTTTATATAGTGTTGA